TGATTACGGTTGCTGTTTATAGATCGCAGGTAAAATCCTGACGCACGATGCTTCAGGCCTCAAAACCAGCTTTGTATAGGCATTTCAGTGGTTGAACAAAGGCTTTTAGCGTGTCAGCTGTTGTTTTTTCCTTTGGTGTCACAACATGGGTTTGTCTGTGAAATGCGCTCGACTCTGAGGCAGCAAGCTTTTCTCCCTGTCAGTCTTAAAAGATGATCAGACCTACTGAGACATCAGTTTCCTCTGCTTTCCGTTTTCCTTTGTTGTTTCTGAAATCTATTCATTAATCTTTACAGAGGATTTGAACACAGCTGTTGTACCTGGAGAAAGAAGATAAAACGTTTTACCTCCAAAACAACAAGAAACTTCAAGCTATTGTTTTTGAAACATGACTGATTTTATCACTCATTAACTGATTGAGAACTAGAAAGTCTGTGTGGATTTTTGACCTCCAGAAACGGTGTGGTCAGGGCTTTTATGAGTGGTTCCCCATTTTATTTACAATCATGAAGAATGAAGATGCATATCCTTTTAATTCAATATGAATAAGCGCTGGGTGGCTGCAAGTGCGCGTGAACAGTATGGGCAACCTCAGGTAAGTCCTGCTTTCTTTTTTAGCTCTTCAATCCTTTCCACAGGCTCCACCTCCAGTTTCTCAGTTTCCAGAGAGCGCATTGGAAGTGGGTTAGCCACAGCAAACAAAATTCCCTACAAAGCAGGAGGAGACAAGCTGGAAAGTACAGGTACAGAATTGCAGGGCAAGCAGATTATTAATAAAAACTGCAACGCTGCCTGAGATACACTACCACGCTGAGGAGGATAACAGCTTGGCAATGAGAGCCTGGTTGAAGTACTACCAGTGATTGAGACGGACTGGATGACACCCTCTCCTGGTGGTTAGTTCCACCCACATGCTGATCCACTGACAAAGGAGGAAAAGAGAGAGCGAAAGAAAGAAGGCAAGTCCATACCTGGAGGACATGGGGGACTCCTATAGCAACACCGTGATGAGTGACAATTTCTTGCTTACTGTATTTACTGCATGTGGGTCATGTTCACTAAATGACTCGTGAAGCTGCACCCAGAGACTGACAGCAGATTTAAAAGACCTCAAGATAACTTGAGGATAAACACTATCAATGAAAACAGGTAACTGGGCAGAAGCTAGTTCTAAGCATGAAGAAGACAATTACCACCGTGGAGGCAACACCAACCTGACAGAGAGAGGAAGATAAAGTCGGTCTTTAAATATTGATCACTAATGAGGAGATAAGTAAAAAGGTGTCGCAGCTGAGGCTCGGGAAAATCAGAAGCTTTAGTTTTAGTTTAGAGCTGATCTTACATGTTTCTATAATATCATAAAGAACAATTGAAGGCATTTCATGGGATTTAAAGACTTTAATTGGCAAAGAGTCAGCATTTATACTGCCCACCCTTATTCTTCATAACTTTGGCAGGTCTGTATAATAACCTGGATATCAGGTTGAGGGCCTAATCCTGTTTGCAGTTGATTTCTGCATGATCAGGTCATAGTGGCTTCTGCTTGTCTGATACGTTTTTCAGGACTGCACATAGATTTTCCTGGCCATGGCTGTAGAATGCTAATTTAATGCTCTACGAGACATAGCTATCACTTTTTGCCTCGTAACACGGTGTCCTGCCATGCTGGAAAATTCTGACCAAATTCCCCTGGATTTTCCAGATTCCCCAGGATCACTGGAGGAAGTTAGTCCTTTGGGACATTTTTAGTGTGGTTAGTCCTTAAAAAAGGGAGTGGGCAAGCCGAAGCCAATCAGCTGCATCAACTTGGTGCACTGATAAGGGGGAATGGATCGCCATTGATCAGGATTTGGTCCAAAAGCAAGGGTCAACTCTGTAAATATTAACTCTTTCCTTGAATTTGATTTATTTGCCCTTAAAGACTTTGAAACTTGTGAAATAGAAACACTTGTGCCTCTGCAAAAACGTCTGGTCATGACTCTAGTTGTTTCTTAGTTTATTAGTCTTTGTTATCCTCTGATTACATAACAAAATAATTTAATCAACACAGACACACACACTCTTTCACACACGTGCACAGACACCTGGTCGTTTCCTCTCTTGATCAGCCAGATGTTAGCGTTGAGGCTGCGATGTAAAATCAAGTGTGAGAAATGTTTTTAATTATCTGGCCACCTGGACGGGGTTGTACAATGCTCACGCACTCACATGCACGCAAACACGCGCACGCATATTTGCACACAATGCCACCATGCCTTGTTGTGCATGGATGTGTATCATATAACCTTTCACTTTCCACGTGAAAAGATGTGGATTTTACTCACAGAATATAACCTGTCAATCTTGTCTTGTGATGTGTGAAGACCTCTTGAGGATAGAGCGTTAGGCAAACACACACGGGCGCACACACTCACGGTTCCAGGTAACAGATGTTGTCCGTCTTTTAATTAAAGTCAACAAATTAAGACACTGTACTCGCTCACTGCTGCAGAAACAGGCCCCAGACAGTCACGCACATACATTTCTGTCTTCTTCACATTATTCTGTAATTGGCTGGAGGCAAATATTGCAGTTTGCTTAGAAACTCTGTTCGCTTTTAATTATTATTCAAGGGCTGCAGCAGACACTCTGGCAGTCTAACAGGCTGATTTCTGACTGTAGACTGATTCAAAACTTGTACAGAGTGCTTTTGCAAACGCGGATGGAGTAAAACCTTCAATCATGATATTACATCATTAATGAATCTGTGTACTTGTTGTGGTTTAATCAATATGGCTGTTTGATCATGGCCAAATAATTCATCAGTCCAGTGTAGTTGTATTAAAATTACATACATACTTGGGTTAGGGTGCCTTCTATCTCCCTCTTCTATGAGAATTTTGGGGCATCCGTTTGACAAGAGTCATCTGCCCTGGGACAAACTTGGGATTTCCTGAAGGTTTGGGAAGGGAATGTCTGGAATACTCTTTTTAGCCTTCTGCCACTGAGACCCGACCAAAAAATAGAAATGGATGGATGGATGCCGCAACTTGATGTGAAGTGTCACAGCAAACAGTGTTTATTGTGTAGGCAATAGTCAAAATAATATCAAGGATTTATGAAAGTGTTCGAGGTCATTTTAGGAAAATATATAATATTAAATTATTCATGCTCCAAATTTATTAATTACAATAATACCGAAAGAAAGGAAAATCTTAGAACGAAATCATCAAGTCAAAAGAAAATGACCTTAGTTAGGTATATCTGTTATGCAGCTAATTAAAGCAAATATCAAATCGGCCAGTGGCATGTCAGCAATTCAGTGCATTTATGTAGGCATGGTCAAAGTGAGCATCAGAAGGAGAAGAAAGGTGATTTAAGTGACTTTGAAGTTTACTACACAATCATCTATGGGGAGAAAATATCAAGTGAGGTGCAGTTCTCAAGGAGAGAATACCTAATTGATGCCAGAGGTCAAAGAAAAATGGTTAAACTGCTGATAAGAAGGCAACAATAACTCAAATAATCACTCATTACAACCAAAGGATGCAGAAGAGCATTTATGAACACAGTGGAATGTTTCCAGCACCTTGTTGAATGTGTGCCATGAACAATTAAGATGGTTCTGAGGGTCAAATGTGGTTCCACCTGACAAAGAGCAAGGTGGGAAAGGTCACCAGTCCAGTAATAAAGTGAGAAAACACTTAAATCCTTACCTGAATCTAATGTAAAATCACCCAGCTGATCTAACTTACATTACGTGGGACTATAGAAGGAAGAAAGCCCACACAAGCACAGAGAGAAGACACCAAGGCATCAAAGAAATTCCCCCAGCTGACCAAAAGGTTTCAACTACCAAAAAAAAAAAAAAACCCAACAGTGACAAAAGAAAAGATAACTTCAAGGACAATTTTTTTCTTGCTTAAATGCAGCTTAATATTCTTTTGGGTGCATCCTAGTCTCCTTTGTTTTTCTTTGTATCAGACAGATATTAGTTCATGTGCAGAGTATGCGGTGTGGATGAATGTAGAAAGGCATATGGTCTGCGGCACACCACACCAGCAGGAATGCACCAGCGAACCTTCCAGTTTCCTCCCATGTTTGTCCCTGACATCAGATCAGTCAAATGTTAAGATGTTTCATCGCTGCTTTGTTCACCCCAGTGTCTGATCTTAAAAGCGCACTTCCTACAGAAAGGCAGTGACTGTTTGCAACTCGTCCAAAAAGTCCACGTCAAAGTCAGCACACAATTTAAGACTTTATTGTTCAGCCTATAACAATTAGTAAATGCAGCAAAAGAATTAAGTGTTACATAAGAATCAACCTTTTTACTTGATTTCTTTCTTTCTTTTTAATCATTTAACCAAACAAATCTTTCAATTTCTCAAGCAAAGTCTTTTCTTCACCGTTGCAGAGTGTTTTCTGACAACAGGAGAAGGTGAAGTCAGGGAGGGAGTATCTGACAGCCAGAGTCATGAAGTCACAGTCTGCATACCGCAAACATTCAGTGTAGGTCTTGCCTGAGGTGAGGCAGTGCGACGTCAGTATTGTCAGATTAACAAATACATACAATTGTGAATTTTGATTTGAAATAACTTGCACAATAGCCAATTTTAACAAAAAACTAATAAAACTTTGAAAAGAAGCATTTTCCAAATAGAATCTGTGCAGGAAATATGTTTTCTTACTTTCTAATAAATTGAATTTGTTTATAATTCAAATGAAGTTTTTCAATATTGCTGAAATTTAGTAAAACGCAAACAAAAGAATGCAAAATCCAGAATTGCTTTTGTGTTTGTCAGTGGATCACTGTTATTATTATCATTACTGTTAAGAGCAATGTGTCACAGTTTAATGAAAAATGCATTCTTCACCTTATTAGGTAATCCCTTCATTCCATAATAAGTTGTTTAACACACTCGTGCTATAGACAGATTTATGTTTGTCTTTTGTCCTGAACAATGCTTACCACCACTGGTGAGTTTGAGGCAGGAGTCCTTCCCCTGGCTACACTCCTGCTTGACTGCACAGTTCTGGGAAGACCCGCCCGGGCAAGAGTAACACTGCAGCGAGAGGCCTGGAGAGGAGTTGCAGAGTTCACATTGTTTAGCTTTAGATTAGATTTAGATTTAGTCAGTGGTTGGGAATTTTATTTATTTATGATGTATTTAAGGATGCTCATGCCTGAGAACAAGCTTTAAGAAAAGAGCTCTAAAACAGCTCAAATAGTCACTCAGTTTTCATAATGATTAAAGGACTATGGAGGGCCATGAGTGCCAAAATGAGTTAAATAAATACATCGTTAAATAATGAATAAAATGTGTCAGTATGAAAACTGGAAATAATTAATTAACTAATTATATTATTAATTAAATCTGGCATTAATTGATTAAAAATGGAAATAAAAAATGTCTTAAATGTTTTCAATAAATGAACTGATTTTATTTAATTAATAAATTAATTACTCATTAAATTGTTGGATGATGTATTTATTTAAATTCATTTTGACATACTTTGGCCCTCCATAATTGGCAACCCCCAGGTCTCATATATAAAACCACCGCTGATTGCCAAAAACTGCAGTTCCTCTAAAGTTCCTCTAATGACCACTAGGCTGTCTCAAAAAGTGAGTGAATCCCAGGGTCTCTCATGTTAATATTATAGTTTTTTTTTTTTAATAAATAAACATGCCTGCAGACTCAAAGTTCAGAGTGTGGGTCCTTTGACTGACAGGTGTCTCGGCACAAGCACCTGCACCTCATTCATCCGTTTACACACGCATTCATACAAGTGCTTTTTTCTACATCTAAGCCTTTTGTCTAACATACTCACATACTCACACACAAGGTTCAGTAACTTGTTCAAGGATACCTCAATGATACCTCAACATGCATTTGGAGTAGCTGGGGATCAAACCACCAACCTTCCAACGGGTAGATGACCTGCAGTACCTTTTTTGTGTTGCATTCATAGAGTCTATGGATGTGGCTTTCTAACTAAGTTTAGCTGGATTTAGCTTTTGTCTAAATATGGCCACTTTGGGCTCCTGAAAATCAACATGAAGAAAGCCCTGAAGGAAAGTGAAGGCATTTAAAAAGGGGACATGAAGGTTGGCACCCCAAATTGCCCCAAAATGCATTAATTGGTTTACGAGGGTGTCTTTGATAGTAAGGAAGTGCTTCAAGGCAGACAATAAAATGTTAAACCTTCTCTGGAAATTAAGTGACACTAAACTGATAATTCTGGTGTGTTCACACTGATTACATGACTTTGGATGGAGCACTGTTTTCTGTTTTTGCAGGAAAGAAAATGAGTATATTTCACAACTTTTTCTTTAAGGCAAAGGCAAAATAAAAGTCTCATGGACTGTAAAAATCTGAAAAACATGTGCAGTAGCCTCATGTTTGCTATATTTCATTAATATTTTAGGAACTTGTCAATAAAAGAAACCCCCCAAAAATATAGAAAAAAAAAACAGCAATCCAACTTTGCACAAAGCAAACGGCATGTCCAGAGACGTGAATTAATATTTGTAGTGTGAAGTGGAGGCACATGACATGACAGCAGAACATGCAAACAGCACAGTGATCTGCTAAAATGTTCCCTCAGGCTGATAATCTCTGTGACTTAGCCCCACTTGGCTGCACTTTTTAGGAAAAAAAAAATAAAAGAGTTCCTTTTTTCCCCTTACCAAATCCAAACATGGCAAAGCTGACAGCTAGGCAAAACACCACAGAGCTCCTCATCGTGATTGAAAGGACTGTCACGTCTGAAAACCAAAACAAAAAGCAGAGTTTCCAGCATTGTCACGCCGAGATAAGAGGCAGGGATTTGACTTTGTGCAAATAAAAAAAATGGATAACACATTCAGGGACTCGAAACACACACACACACTCATGCTGCCGTTTACAGTTCGGACAAGATTTGGGGTATTTTTAATGAAACAAGTCTCCCTGATTTCGGTTCACGCTCACTGACTTTAAATGTTTTTTGTTATTTTATCAAACAAAATTAAAAAATAGGTAACAAAATTTTCAAGTAATACCAGAAGAAACTAAAGAGGACAAAACAACAGGCAGAAATCAGGGAAAGAAAAAAAAATCAACTGTGAGTACATTAGACATTTTAAAATTATTTCTACCTCGTTATTTTTATCACAAATCCCTGCAGCCACTCACCTGTGAATGTGAAGGAAATGATTCAGCCTGTGAGGAGCGAGGAGCTTTTTGCAACAGCAACAACAGAAAAAAGCAAACAACCCATTTGTTTGGTTTCAGAGTCCAGACGTCTGAAATGTTGACCAACATACCGAAGAGTTTATGTAACAGAGATCAATTATTAATAGATTTTAAGTTGAAGCTATTATATTTTTCTTGTTGCTCTAGGTGATTTCTGTTTGATTTGTCATCTGCATGTACGATTTAAAGAATAAAGGTAGGTCAATAACGTTTATTTCACTGATTACTGATGGCATGCTTAGTGAAAGTAGTACTATTCACATTCAGGTCAACCTTCCTGTTCCTAAGGTCATGTGGATATCTCAGTACACTCTTACTGCTTCCATAGGAATAGATAATCAAATGCACTTGATTAATTAATCATCAGTGTATAATAGCAGAAGACTTGGCAGTTTACTGGTATGGAACATTCAGGTGAGTGTTCAAACAATACATTTCCTAAGGTAGATGTTTAAGCAAATTCACCCCTAGGTCACACTCCAGAGGCCTTGTTTAACATCTCAAATGTAAAGTATGCTACCAGGATCCCTCTCTCTAAGAAAGAACATAGCAGCACGACTTGGGTTTGCAAAGATACGTATGAGCAAACTACAATACTTCTGCATGTTTAATGCACAGAATCCAAATCAAGAAAACCAAAAACACCACATCAACTGTTAAGCACGATGGTGCAGGCATGATGATTAGGGCTTGTTGCGGTCATTGAACCAACCATTTGACTTTGTAAACCAAAGTATTCTAAAGTCAAATATGAGGCCATCTGTCTGACACCTAAAGCTCTGCCGAAACTGGATCATGCAAGAGCACAGCAGCAAATCTATAACAGAATGGCTGAGTGAGAAAACAATCAAGGTGTCACAATGTTCCAGTTGAAGTCCAGACGTGGCTTCCACTCCAGATATGTTTTTTGCAGTTTCTTGAAAAAGTTATATTTTGATTTAACCTCTAGAGACCAGAGCACTTGTTTGGGATGGATGGCATGCAAAAGGTCTATACTGAACAGAAGGAAGAAAAGCCAAACATATGTCCCTGAAGAATTAAAAAACAAACAACAGAAAATTTAAATTTAAATTGGACTTTATCAGTGATATGTGAGACTTTTTCAACTCACACTCAGTGCAAAGAGTATCAAAGAAAACTAGTCCTGGTGGTGTTCTGTCCATTTTCCTACACCCATTAATTCACTTTTTTTATACTAATAACTGTTAAAATAGTTCTCAACTGCCAGGTTAACCTGCACTTGACCCATACCGAGAGTCTCCACTTGCTTCTTCATTGCTACTGGATAAAAACCAGGCTTTATAAAAGTGTCTGTCTCATAGCGTTAACTTTTTAAAACCACAGACAATCAAAATGTGAGACATATTTTTTTAGGATGTGCAGGATGTGGACACCCTACAAGAGGTAGGGAAAATTAAATGTAAGGGCTTAACAGAGCAGATATAAAGCAAAGGATATAAGTGAAACAAGTAGAGGAATACTTAAGAACAATAAGAAAAAATGGTGAAAGTTAATCAGTGTGTGGACATTGTTTACAGTGGTTGCAACATAAAAGCAACAGCAGGCAGACTTTTATCCAGTTCATAACACAGCGCCTGTGCCTGAAAGGTGAGCTATGCTGTGAGCTGGAAAACTGTTATTGCTGCAAGATTTGCCCTCAGAGTCAGAGAGGTGTAATATCTCTGTCCATCAAAGGGAGCGAAGACTCAGCACATTTCAGCTGAGGGAAAATGAACCTGTGTAAACTTTTACTGCATTTATGACAAATGCTGTCTGCAGGAGAAAAACAAACAGAAGATGTGAATGACGGCGAACTTTAAATGGAATCGAAAGCATTACATGAGCAAAAGTTATACTTTATATATATTTGTGTGCGTGCGTGCGTGCGAGAGAGAGAGAGAAATTCGTAAATCTTAACTGACTTAAATTTGACTGATCTCCTGTTCAAATTAATCTTTCCTGCATCCCTGGACCATGTTCAATCAACACAGATGCTATTTTTAGATATCTCACTGGTAGTCCTGCTCTGTCTTTTTCTCTCTTTCCTAGCGTCCTCCCTGCTCGGGATCCGCTGCGTGTCTTCTCCATTTGGATCGATCTTGGTGTCCTCTGGGACGAGATCCACTGCGCGCATGTCTTCAGTGATTGCGTCCATCCGCCGCTTCTTCGGTCTTCCTCGCGGTCGGCGGCCTCCAGGATCAAGTCAGAGGGCTGATCTTGACACTGAATTCTCCTCAGTGTGCATGACGTGTCCCTACCACCATAGGCGCACTTCCCTCATCTTCTTTTTCATTGGGGCAAGTTCGAGTCGTTTTTGAACAGCTTCATTCGTTGTGGCAGTTTCATCTCCATAGCATTGAGGAGCATTGAGGCCCGCGTTCCACTCCATTAAGGGCCACTGGCCGTATGACTGTCTTGTTGATCTTATGATGATGGACTATCTTCTTTGGCCTGCTCCGTCCTTGAGCAGATAGCCTTTGTGTATTTCTCACGTTGCTCCGGCGAGGGGGGACGCCCTATCATGTTGATTCAAATCGAGTTGACGTTCCATGTTTCCATCTTTCCACGAAAGATGCCCTGACAGACTTGTTGTATCATCTGTCACCAGAGACCCACACCATTGGCCAAGGACCAAGGATCCTTGTTTCCAGCTGGCACTACAAGGTGGTGGTGTTGGGGTTTCACCAGCCTATGTCCTATCCTTTTATGGATGCAGATCTCCTTTAGTGTGTCAAAGCAGCAGTTTTTCAACTTAACAAATGTTTTAAAGAGGTGGACAAAGTTACACTCAGGCAAATCTGGCAAGTGAAACAGGTGGTGAGCCAAGCCAAGGCTTTGTTTGAGTGTCAAAAAACATTCTCCCTCGGGTTTATCAAAACATTATAGCAGAATTCCACCTTGATCTTCTTCCTCTGGGGAACGGATTCATGTGTACAACAATGTGGATGTTGACCAACATGCTCCTGGTCTCACTGGCTGATATGCTGGAAGGCTTGGAAAATGTGGACACTTCAACTGAAAAGTGCCTTCATCACTAGATAGATAGATAGATAGATAGATAGATAGATAGATAGATAGATAGATAGATAGATAGATAGATAGATAGATAGATAGATAGATAGATAGATAGATAATTTACAGACATAATTTCAATATTACAGTCAAGAAAGAAATCTAAGGAGAATAAGGAATGCGCCTTTCTAAAATTAGACTGAAATGATACCTTAAGTTCCTGCAATTTTTGTAACCTCAGTAGGATTTCGCTCTTTCAGAAGAATAAGCTTGGCAGTAATAACTTTTTTATTGTGAAAAATTTCCCAAAGTCCCACTGTGCCACAGTTCTCCATTGCTGCCCAGAAACTATTCTCCATTATTCTCTGTTCCACAAATATTTCACTCATTACCATGAACACAAGTGAAGAACCGCTCCATTCTACCTCCCCTTCTTTTCAGCCTATGTTTGTGGCAGTTTGTTTGTTTGTTTGTTTTTGTTTTGAGAAGATGTGGCTTGTTTCCAATCATCAGCACTGGCAACAGGCGTGCCCAGTGGGCCAGAGCGCTACAAAAGCCTTCATAGCTTAGTTTCTGTGTGCGAACCTTTTAAGGATTCCAGTTGCCGTTCGGTTTGTTTTCTTGCACTAAACAACATTGCATACAGTATCTTTGCACTCATGCACTCACTTACACCACTAATACTAATGACTGATGGTTAGTTGAAGGCCTTTCTTTGTTTTTTTTTAACCCTCTGGACTCGGCTAATGCACCGGCACATTCAAATCAATCGATTTAAAGTGACGTAGCAGCGTCGCTGAATTTCTATTTCAACTTGTGTCGAATGTGCAGACTTCAAACTATAAACCAGTTTTTATTCCTAACAATGCAGTTATGACTTTATTGACAGTTTGATGTTGCTACAAACATTTGTGAAAGAACAGGCCACTCTCACGAGCTCAGTGAATTCTAGCGTTGTCGTGTGATTGGATGCCACCTGTGCAACAAGTCCAGTCATGACATTTCCACACTACTAAATATTCCACAGTCAACAGCCAGTGTTATTATAACAAACTGAAGTGATTGGGAATGTGAAGTAGCATGACATAAGCAGCATGGAAAGTGATAGGAAGACAGCATCTGCAGACTGTTCAAGTTTCTTTTAAGTGTTCTTTATTTTCTGGTGCCGCCTTTCAACAATTGTTTCACAAAACAGAAGAACCTGGCAGTCAAAATCTCACCTGCTTTATGCAGAAATCCACTCATCTGAACCTCATTAGAGCGGGGTAAGCAGATACTAAGGTGCAAAGGTTGCCAACTTTCCCCAAAGTCAATTGCTACATACCTGCAAACTTCATGTAGCCTTCATATTAGCTCAGGAACAGTACATAGAGAGCTTCATAGAATTGGTTTCCATGGCTGAGCAAATACACCCAAGTCTTGTAAAGCCTGTTGCTACTGGACTCGTGTTCTCTGGACTGAGAATCATCCGGCATCAGATGGACAAGTCTGGGTTTAGCCATTGCCAGGAGAACAGAACTTATAGGAAAGTTTGATGCAACGGGGATTATAGTGTAGGGTTGTTTTTAGGAGTTGAGCCCGGCTCCTTAATTCCCATGAAAGGAACTCCAAAGAAAACTTTGGACAGTTTTATGCTCCCAGCTTTGTGGGAACAGTTCCTGTTCTAACATGACTGTGCACCAGTGCACAAAGCTAGGTCCATAAAGACATGTATGAGAGAGTTTGGTGTGGGAGAAATTGACTGGCCTGCAAAGACTCCTGACCTCAACTCGACAGAACACCTTTGGGATAAATTAGAGCGGAGACTACTAGCCAGGCCTTCTCATCCAACATCGGTGTCAGATCTCATAAATGCACTTCTGAAAGAATGGTCAAAAAAAATCCCTGAAAAACACACTCCTAAACCTTGAGGAAAGCTTTCCCAGAGGAACTGAAGCCATTATAGCTCCAAAGGATCGACATGATATTAAACCCCTTGGT